TCTGCGGCGAGGGGACGAGCGGGGCCGGGCAAGGGGTCGGGGCAGAGGGGAGTGAGCGGTCGCCCCTCCGCTTCCCGCCACTACGACTCGCTCTGAGGCCCCAGGGTTCTCCCCATGGTGGGCGTCTGCCAGGGCTATGGGGTCACTGAGCTTACAGGGTGATTAAGGGTGTCAAGGAGTTGGGGCTTTCGACTTTTTTAGTACAAGTGACCCGAAAACACGGAAAGAAAACTCTGGGGAGAAAGGCAGGTGGAGGTCGGTGTGTCTGACCCCATCTTCCAACACCACCACAGCTGGCAGCAGCCAGGCTGTAAGGCCACACAGAACAAGTGTTGCGTTTGAAGCCCCACATGTTGCCTTTGAAGCCTAGAGACTTGCGAGCCACTTGCTCCAGCAGCCCAGGAGGGGCGGTTCATCACACTTCTTAAAAAGGGGCTGAGGTCTACCTATGCTTTCCTGCCCAGGGGAGAGGGAAAGGGATGTGGGCGGGTATCTCTTTTTTTCTTGCCTCTTGTAACAAAAGCTATTGCAGCTTTCCCCCAGGACACAGTGGAAAGACGAGTCAGAAAACATTTTAAGTAACACACAGAATATATATAGTATTTCTTCAAGTGGCCATTTTCACATGTTTAAAGACAGCTGGTGTTTCTAATTTAAGGGGACAATCTTAAGGAAAGAGAAATGAAACTGTTTTCTGTACTTGCTGGCTAGGTTCAGTGTTAATTTGGGTAAATCATTGAATAATGAAATGCTAATATTATTTCAGTTATTTTTCACCATGCTTCACTGGCAACTCTTTGGACTATGTAATGTTTGAAGGAGGAATGATGACCCTGCTTTACTGCCTGTGATGTGAGCCAAAAACGAGTTTTACTTTGGCAGCTGAAGGGCCATCCGACAAGAGAAAGGTTTAGTTAATACTAATCTCGGTAAGATTTAAGCCATGATCTCAGAGCTTTTGGATGGGTTTTCCTGTCTGACTAGCTACAGCCTAAAGAGCTATCAACACCACATCTTATAGAGCCCACATTGAAACCACAGATCTGAACATCTGAGGCTTCGCAGTTGTTCAGATCTCAATCCAGATCATAAACCTGCAGCAGAGGTCTACCTCTAAGTCAGTCCTATCCTTTATGGTACAACACTCAAACCACAATTTTTTTTTGGCATAATTTACTCTGGTGGCCTAGCTCACAACTATATCAGTCCAGTTTTATACCGGTGTAAAATGAGAGTGAACCAATAATGAATCAGATTGTCTACTACTCTTAGTCTGTTTGAATCATGTTGTTCTAATAATGTCTGTTATTATTTAGTTACAGATAATCGAACCAGTTAGAATTTCAGTGAGTTAGCTCCATGGACTTGGTCTCTCTTGCTTCACTTGAAATTAAATGGCAAATTCTTCACACCAGAAACTATGCCTACTAATTGTGAAACACTTCCAGATACTGTAAAATAAGGCTGGCTAGACTTCACACTTGTGTACTTCATGTTTACTCTTAAACCAGAGTGTAAGATGTAAGGTAAATGCCATAAGATATACTTAGCTGCTGTTCCTTAGAAAATCACATAAAGAGGTCTGTTGTGCTTTGCATTGGAGCAGTGAGCAGCATAACTACAGTTTCTTCTTAAGTGAAGAGTACAGAGCTCTGCTGGACATAAACCAGAGCCTGCAGGCTATGCTGTGCCTTGACAGACAAGGATCCGACTTCCTCACCTGGAAAGCAATGCTTTAGACATCTCTGACCCGATCCCAGCTTCTAACATAACCCATATCTCTTTGGATGCCTTTCCAGGTGAATGTTTGGTGCTACTTTTTGGAAAGTAGATGTATAAAATGGTCTCTTCCAGCAACTCCTGCTGATCCCAGAGTAAAACATACCAGGAGAGGTGAATCATGTACCTTGTTTTGCCCCATTTACTTTGAGTACCAGTTTTGACACAGCCAGGGTTTCTGGGTGAAAAAGCCTAATAACTTGCCCAGTTGTACTAGAAAGTTGTTCTTCTGCCTCGAGGATCATCTCTGAGGTACCTTCATCCCTCAGAGTGCTTTCTGCTGCTATCAGTTGGTCCAGCTGCTGTTGACACCCTCCTGGGACAGTGGACCTGAATCAAGCGTGCCATTGTGACTTTTATGATGGGGGTTATGCCCAACAAAAGATGTTTTCCTCTCTTGGGCTTGATTGTCAGATGTATCCAGGCAAACAGAGACTCACAATGTATCTGAAAAGGTTTTAAGTTTCATGACAAAAGCATAGCTTCCACTTGAGTGCTGTTGGGGGCTGAATCTCAACAAGACATTTTCCTGAAGGTGAGTGGGAGTCCCCATCATCAGTGCCTTTGCCATGCCAGAATCGCTCTCCTGTTCATTGCTGCATGTGACAATTCCTTATTTTTCACAAATTGGATTTCAATCATTATGTCTCATTTCAGTCACAGCCCTGACTTTTTGAAATGCCAATTTATGATGGACAGTCTATGAAACTGCTCCAAATTACAGGAAAGGTATTTCTGTATTCCAGTACCCTTTTGCATTTTTTTGAAGATTAGATATCTATATTGCAAGTCTTTGCCAATCTCCATAGCAACTAAACACTCACCACCTAGGTTATATATTCAAGTACAGTTATTTTCAATCCTTTTCCAATTAAGATTCCACAACAGCCTTATTTTCTTGCTATAACCACAGTACTAGCAACAAAGCATTGTAGTATTATGGTGCAAAATATAGATGCTTATAGCTGTACTGAGTGTTCCTGGTAGGAAGCAGCCTGGTAGTAAAAGGACTGCATCAGATCTTCACTTTTCTTAATTACCTCTAGATTCTTCTGCCTGAAAATACAAAAATTGCCAAGTCGTGACAATATCCTTTTCTCCATCCTACTGAAAATGGAAACAATTATCACATATGAAATTGTGAAATAACAGCATTGTTGATTACAGAAAATTAGTAAACCCAGGACAACATAGATTTGTTACAATGTAAAAATCCTCAAGAAAATTTGCCTCTTTATACAAAAATATATTAATGTGAATTATTATAAACTATAAAAAATTATTATAATTATGCTCTTTTAAAATTTATATTCCCAGAATTGTATCTGTAGTATTCACTTATTTGTATTTTTTATTAAATCATTCAGACTATGGATTGTCTTAAATCCATTCTATGGATAGACAGCTTTGTGTCTGGATAGTGTCTAGCACTCTAGGGCCTCAGTCCATGTATAGAAGCACTAAGTAAAATGGTAATAAACAGCAATATTAAAATTATATCCCTTACATGAGCTTTTGCTGAGTAGCTAGTTGTTTAACAACCACTCTAAAATCTGTATGATGATTTGTTTGGCAATACAAAAATGCTGAAACAACAATGGGACACATTCAGCCCATTCTGTAATTTCTTGAAGAAGTTCTTGCTGCTGGAGGTTAAATGAGCTAGGAAACTGAATGACTACTACTCAAGAAATGAAAATATTTTAAAACGTGTTTTCAAATTAAGCTATGCAGATATATAGGCACAGTCTTTGCATCTCTACAATGGGCATTTGAAGGCCTGTTCTGGAAAATGTGCATCCTCATGCCAGTGTAGTACGTCCTCTGTCTCTGAAGCAAGACTGGCACATCAGAAAACAATTTTTGTCATGAATGGGATTTGTACATCCTTTACATTTATGGAACAGCCATTGTTTGATAAGAGTTTATAGTTTTCATATGCAGTTTCTGTGAGGATGAATATGAAGTGTTTTTCATTCTTAAATGCTTGAGTTGTTAAAGCAACATGTAATTCACAGTAATTTTGATGGAAGTTGTTTCAATGTCATGGGAGAAATCTTGGCCCCATGGAAAACTGAGGAGCTGTGGGCCCCAGCTGGCACTCTGGAGCATCTCTAGGAATGACATACATTGATGCAGGCATCCAGTGTCTTGCAGTAGATTGTGTCAGTATCTGGAGTTGTAAAGTAAGTAGCAGAAAACGGCATAGAGACAATCCACCCAGCCGGGAGCCTCATTCATCAGTGATGTGTTTCCATGGAA